AAAAAAAAAAAAAAAGTGGAACTGATAAAGTTTGTTTCATGATGTGCATATTTTCCATCTCCAGTGATTTTTTTATTTGCAATAAAAGATTTGTAATTATTTACTCTAGTCATAAAGAACTACATAGTTCTGTTATTTCTAGACAGATGCTAAAATATTTTTTAAATTACACTTCGTTCATTAAAGGCTAGCTTAAAGTAAAATGATAGTGTCTTACAAATTTTATTATTTCAACCCCACAATTTTTGTTTGCATTTTATTGTGTGACTATGATAGAGACTTTCATAAACACGGCTGTGTACCTTTTGGACTAGGTTGTGCTTTGATGTTGGAGGCTGTTTAGCAGCATCTCTGGCCTCAATCCACAAGATTCTAGTAGTAATCCCCAGTCGTGAAACCAAAAATATGTCCCTAGGGAGCAAAATTCACTTCAGTTGAGAAACACTGCCCTGGTATATTTACTGAAATTGTTACCATGCTTTTCAGGAGCATAATTTGGAATAAACCAGTATACTATTAGTAGCCAAACACAAAATCAACAAAATAAAAAAGCTACTAGGCAGTAATTTTGGATAGTTCAGCATAACAAAAATGTCAGAGTATTATTTTGAATTGAAAGACTAGATTGTCTAGGTAATTGGTATAGAACAGACCACTAGATGTACTTTAGTGAATAATGGGAGAAATAAAATTAATAGTTAATAGCTATAGATGTAATTTATGGCCATTTCTTTCCTTAGCCATTGTTTTAAAATGTAAGATAACAGGATCTGTGGATATTAAAGAACACATGAATGTCCTTATACTATTTTATGTTACCCCTCCAAAGTACAGCACTTCTCTATGACATACTGAAATAATGTGTTTACTGTTTGTCATTATGTCTACAGCAGGTGATTCCCAGCATCTTGCTGAGAACATCATTAATCTAACTTCCTTTGCACAATTTTGGCTTTCTGTGTCGTGACCAACACTCATCAGGCAAGTCAGCTCACAAGGTGTTTGTCAGTTTAAATGTATGCTAGAGGAAATGCAAAACTACAGCTCATTCAGAGATAGAGAAAACCAAAATATTTAAATATCACCACAGACCCCTTATCCCACCTAAAATATTAAAATAACCTCTTAATATCAAGTATTCCATCATTCTTCAGATTTTTTTTTTTTTGAAACAGGGTCTCACTATGTAGTTGCGACTGCCCTGGAACTCACTACGCAGTCCAGGCTGGTTTTGAACTCACAGCGATCCTCCTGCCTCAGCCTCCCAAGTGCTGGGATTATAGGTGTGCACCGCCACACCCGGCATTCTTCAGATTTTCAGTGTCTCACAAATGTCTTTTTTTTTTTTTTTACTGTTTTTTTATTGAATCAGAGCTCCAAAAAAATTCAAAGTTTATGACTATTTGACATATTTCTTAAATGTTTTCTTTTTGGTACCAGGGATTGAACCCAGAATCTTGTACTTGTGAGGCAGGTGCAATTCCAGTGAGCTAAATCCCTGGCCCTCCTAAATGTTTTCTAAATCCTTAAGTTTCCCCTTCTCTCTCTTTTTCCCAATTGTAATTTGAAACTGAACTGTTTGGATTGAACGTTTCCCACAGCCTAGAATATGCCTCATAGTGTCACTTACTTAAGTGTCACTTGTGTCTGTCTCCACTGTTTCCTGTAAGCTGGTAGTTGAGTTAAAGGTTTGATCAGATTCAGATTCGGTTTTCTTTTTGGCAAGTCAATAAAGAAAGCAATAGCCAATGCCTGCATTGTTGACTTCTTAGGTAGTGACTTGCAAATTGACTCAGCTAACATTTGTTGAATATTTACTATGTGCCTAGCAACGTACTTGTGTTCTATAGTCATCGTGTCATTTAATCTAAACCTCATATTTCTAGTATGGACCCATTTTTATCTGAGGACCAGACCTCTTCTTAGATCTTAAATGTCCTTCAAGCAAACCCTTTAACATATATCCCATTGTCAATTATTTGATTTCATGTGTTTATCTGAATTTTCCTTTTAGATTCATTTAGAGCTACCCAACAATGTTTTTGCATTAAACACCTTTTAAATTTTTAATAAAGCTCAAAGACCTGGCATGTAACTATGAACTCATTGTACTCAAGCGTTTGGGCTTCACCATCTGTTAAAGACAGATCCCTCACAAACCCCAAATAGGGCCAAAAGAATTTAGTGTTTCCTGAGTCTCTTTTTCCTTTCCACTCATTGTCTTCTGCAAGTGCACTTACGGCTCTTTCATCTCTCTGCTTTCTTTGCATGCTTACAGTGCTCACAGTATCCTACTGTTTCCCAGTGTGAGAAAGTGGCTCGTGATTGTAAAAGCAAAATTAGCTTTTCATTGTTTGTTTATGCATCTTCAATTTAGTCTACTCAATTCTCTCCATAGTTCTCAGTACTACTGTTCATAAAATCAGACCATAAGCACTCCAGACCCAAAAAAGAATGTCAAATTATGTTGAACTATCACTTTGGATGATTAAACTGTTTGATACTGATTGATGGGCCAAATTGCAATTAGGTATCAGAGCACTGGAAGCAGAAGGAGACAATGCAAAGAGCATCCTATTGTGTGGCTTTGTGAGTTGACATGCAAGGAGTAATTTATTCTTTTTTTTTTTTATCCCAGGGCCAAACCTAGGGGTGCTCTAACATTGAGCCACATCCCCACCCCTTTTTATTTTGTTTTGTTTGTTGGTTGGTTGGTATAGGGACTCAAACTTGGGACCTTACACTTACAAGGCAGACAGCAGAACCACTGAGCTAAATAGCTGGCCCCTTATTTTGAACCATGAAGTAGCTAAATTTCCCAGGCTGGACTTGAACTTGAAATCCTCCTACCTCAGCCTCCCAAAGTAGAATTACAGGCATGGGCCACTATGCCCAGCTGAGCACTGTAATTTATTCTTCATAGATCTTAATTTGTCTCTGATCATTTGGTTGGCTGAATAGAAGGAATCTAAAGCCCTGGTGATACAATAAGAAAATAGGAATGACTGTGGAATTTGATTTCTTATTCTGGTTTTCACCATGAGACATTAGACAGCCGGATTCTTTGTTCTTATTTCTTTTACATAAAATTTAACATAACTATTCATAAAGACCTATAAAATTCTTATCTAAGAGAGTCTTTGCAAGCTCCTAGTAAATGGATTATATCTCTCTTTACCTCATCTTACACTGTAGCATGGTGCACGTGCTTGTGCTTAATAAGTAGCTTTTGATGATAGTGGCATTTGAAAGGTTATACATCTTAAAGGATATTTTGTTTCTTTTTTCCTTGGCAGGACCAAGAAGCTTCCTTTTCTAAGACCAGTGCTGTTTGGTCTTGGTGAAAGTGTACTTTGTTCTAAACTTGCCATATAAAAGCCTAATATATACTTAGTAATTCTAAGAAAGGAGGAAAATCACGTTCTGGGGCAGTGAATGCTGACTTGGTGCTGAATGAATGATTGTTGTGCTCTTTTACTCCCAGGCTCGCTTCTCGTATGTTCGGATGAAATATCTTTTCTTTTCCTGGTTGGTGGTTTTTGTTGGAAGCTGGATTATATATGTGCAGTATTCTACCTATACAGAACTATGCAGAGGAAAGGACTGTAAGAAAATAATAGTAAGTATTTTTAATTTTTCTGGTTTCCTGAAAAGCCTCTTAATAGCACACATTTACTACTTAACTGTTTTAAAAATAAAAGTTAACTTCTCAAGAGCATTGTGTTAAACATCTTGGCTTTTTGGTATGACTAAATTAGGAGTATTCATTACCTTGAAATATCCAGTACACAAAAAAATATATACTATATACTACAAATAAGTTAGTGTGAGAACATCCTTATTACACAGAAGGATTTTGGTTTTCAGATATATTTAAACTTCAGTTTATTCTAATTAGATGAGTTTTTTTAATATTTAGGATATAAAAGTGTTATTGATAAGCAAGTTTTCTGGAACATGTCTTTTAAATAAATAGAGTCATTCTTAAATACTAAATATTATATTAAAAGCATATATTTATTATTCATTTTCTCTCCTATTGGTTTACTATATATATGATATATATATCTATATGCTCCTAATAAATGGATTATATAGTATAGTGTGTGTGTGTGTGTATATATATAAGTGTTATTGATAAGCAAGTTTTCTGGAACATGTCTTTTAAATAAATAGAGTCATTCTTAAATACTAAATATTATATTAAAAGCATATATTTATTATTCATTTTCTCTCCTATTGGTTTACTATATATATGATATATATATCTATATGCTCCTAATAAATGGATTATATAGTATAGTGTGTGTGTGTGTGTATATATATATATATATATATATTTATATGTCAGAAAATCATGCTGTTAGTCAAAGATTTATAACAGTAATTGTTGGTTCCATGGCACTTGTATATTTTAAATGTGTTAAGATTTCAAGTAAATTTAAATTCCTGGTTTTTTATCAAGAGCTTCTACTATAAATATTAAAACATTTCTGAGATAAAGTATTTTATGTTATTTATTTAGCATTATTCATTTTCTTCTGTTTGTTTTGTGGTACTGGGGCTAAAACCCAGGACCTGGCATGCTAAGCAGGTACTGTACCACTGAGGTACACCCCCAGCTGTTAGAATTATATGTATGTATGTATATTTCTTGTTTGTTTTGGTTCTAGGGATTGAATCCAGGGCCTTTTACATGTTAGGCAAGCACTCTATCAGTGGGCTACATCTCTAACCCTTTATTTTTACTTTGCAATCAGGTCTTACTAAGTTGGCCAGCCTGGCCTCAGACTTGCAGTTGTCTTGCCTCACCTCCTGACTAGCTGAGATTACACAGTACCTGGCTTAGAATTATACTTTTCTTTTTTTGGTACCAGGGATCAAACTCAGGACTTTACACTTATGAGGCAGCTACAGCACCACTGAATTAAATCCCTGGCCCAATTATACTTTTAATAATAATGATTTTGGGATTCCATTGATTATAGATTATTAAAGACTGACTTTATGTATTGACTTTACCTTCACCACTTGGGCTAAGTATGTATATATAACAAGGGAACAAGAACTCTTGACCTTATAGAACTTATAGTTATACAGGGAAGAAAACGAGTAATCACAGTATGATAAATATTACAGTAGGAAGTGTTATGGAAACATACAGGAAGACCTGAGGTTTCCTAGAGTTCTAAGACAAAAAAAAAAAGTTTAACACTAGGTGCTCCATTAGTCAGGATTAAAAATAAAAATAAAATATTATTCAGAAGTATTATAGTCCCTTAAATAAGCAAGGGAAGAATCACTAACATGAGAAGCAGGAATGAATTAGTAAAGAAGATTTAAACATATCAATAATACATCTGTTTCAATTGGCCATTCCAGATTCATGAGGAATTTTAAGGTAGGAGGAACCTCTGGGCCCAGTTGACATATTAGGTACTATACGTGTTCATTTAATACCTAAAATAAAATTTGAACACCCCCAAAGTCCATTTTATAAATGCAGAAAAATGACCCAGGAAGAAAGAAGAATTGCTGAGCTGATGGAGTCAGAATTTGGCCCAATTCTTTCTCTCTGTAAAGTTCATATTCTTCCTACTATCCTATGTCAGAAGAGACTAACAGAGGAAGTTATAATCCAATAAAGCTAACAAAAAAGCCACAAAACCTATCTAGTCCCCTTCAGAGAAGAAGGAGAGAGCAGGAGTTATATAATCAATTATAATAACGTACAGTTTACCACATTATTTCAAATGTTTATTCCCCTCCAGAAGAGTACTTGCCTAGCATCTACAAGGCCCTGGGTTAGAGCCCCAATACTGAAAAACAAACCTGTGGATAAAATATTTTCCTGGTCAAATATATTTGGAAACATAGAATTAGACAAAAAAATAAATAAATAGATGACTTTCCCGAAGACTTCCCAGCATCTTTAATATAGTAATATGTATTACACATCTCCAAGAGAAACGAAATATACTTGAATAGAAAAAAATACATCCCAGCACCCGCCTTTCCAGGAAGGCTTGTTAGTATCATCTGGGGATCTTAGAAATATTATTCTAAGAGATTAAGTCAAAATTAAATGGATATGACTTTAAGTATCTTGTATTGATATAAAATATAAGGCACATATTGGTACGTATTCTGTCATAAGTGATTGAAGTGCCTCATTTTTCACTTTAATTTCCTTTTAACATAATTTATAAGAAATGGAAGCGGAATGTAATTATAGTATAATTTGATACTTGTCTTACTAAAACTTGAAAATAATGAAAAAGCTTTATAAGTTTAAAATACATCATTTTTCAAAGGCTGGCTTTAGAAACAATTACGGTTACTCTGCATTTGGAACCATGTTTTGTAAAGCTATCATAACCGGTAGTACTAAGGGCAGTATGGTAAGATAACATTAATATGCATAGAAACTATGGGGTTAGAACTAACCAGGAAAACAACATGTATGTATGTATTGTTTTTTTGGAACTGGGGATTGAACTCAGGTCCTTGCACTTGCAAGGCAGGCCACCGAACCGCTGAGCTAAATCCGCAGCCCAAAAACATGTATATTTAAATCTTCAAAGACCTAACATAATACTGAGGAATTACTTGATCAAGATCTGGGAGATTATTGAGATCCAAGAATGGTCAGCTAGTTTTAACAGTGAGCTTAGTTTTTGTGGCTGCCTTTGCCTGGAGATGTATACCCTGAAATACGGTTTTATGGGAGTAGGGAAATGAAAATCTAGTCCAGTCCAGTCAAAGGTGGGAACTCTGGTACAGTTTTCTCTTGGGCTGAGACTCAGAAAAGCTAAAGACCAGGAGTAATGTGAACTAAAAGAATTTCAGAATGGAGAGCTGATTTTGCAACTTCCTTTAAGCTGTGTAGATTTGTTGATTCTGAGCATAGGCAAAGAATTGGAGAAGGCTGGGAGTCGTGGTGCATATCTGTAATCAAGAGGCCGGAGCAGAAGGGTCTTCACAAACTCGAGGCCAGCCTGGGCTACATAGCAAGATCCTTTCTCAAAACACCAAAAGGTGGGGGGTGCAGTCTGATGAACGGAACTATAATCATGCACCACATAAGAACATTTCAGTCAACAACAGAATACATATACGATGATATATGCCATAAACCCTCTGTTTAGCAGGTTATACATTTTGGTTTGTGTAAATACCTTCTATGATGTTAGCATAATGATAAAATCACCTATCCATGAATTTCTCAGAAATATCCCAGTTGTTAAGTAATGCATAACTATATATTGCCCCAGAGCTGTTGCTGGGGACAAGAAACTGGCAGAGCCTTTGTAGAAAACTGACCTACCTCATGCATGCCACCAGTTATCCCACCAGAATATGTGCCAGTGGGTTCAATCCCCAGTGCTGAAAAAAGAAAGAAAAAAAAAAGGAAACATAAGCAGACATTTTGTATTTTGATGGTTTTACAAGATACAGATTAAAGTCTGAGTAAAGTTCATAACTTTAATGCCAGGCTATCAGTTTAAATCCCTGAGAGATATGCCCTTCAAACAAGGATAAGTCAAAATAGCTTGAGTTTTACCAGAGCTACAACCCAGCTTCAACTCAGCACAGCTCAGAATTGGGTTAAAATAATCAGCTGCCACTACATCTGCCTTTCTAGAGGGAAGGGAAACTCTCTGGAGCCATTATGTAAAGAAAAAAAAATTTTAAGAAATGCCAAAAAACAAAATTATATGACCCCAAACCAAGAGATTAACATAGACACTAAAATAGGTCCACAAATGATTTGGAGTCATTCAAAAAGAATTTCATGTTCAACTAAATAGGAAAACAGGTAGAGAGAATAAATAAAACAATGGATAATTTCAACAGAGAATTGTAATATATAAAAAAATTAGGAAGCTAGTTTGGATGTTCCTAAACAAAATGTTAAACATAGGATTACCATATGATCCAGCAATTCCACCTCTAGGTATGTACTAAAATAATTTAAAGCAGAAACTCAAACAGATACACATCAGTGTTTGTAGTAGTATTCTTAATAGCCAGAAAGAAGAAACAGCCCAATTTTCTGTTAGCAAATGACTGGATAAATAAATCACAGTACAAGTTAAGCATCCCTGATCCAAAATCCAAGGTGCCCTGAAATCCAATGTGCTCCATAAATCCAAAACTTTGTGCACTGATACAGCACTCAAAAAGTTTCAGATTTTATAGCATTTCTGATTTCAGACTTGTCTTTTTTGGGGGGGAGTTGAGACAGGGTCTCACTATGTAGTTGAGACTGACCTGGAACTCACTATGCAGTCCAGGATGGTCTCGAACTCACAGCAATCCTCCTGCCTCAGCCTCCCGAGTGCTGGGATTACAGGCATGCGCCACAATGCCTGGCTTCAGACTTTTCAATTAGGGATACTTAACTTGTAAAGTCTATACAAATATCCCCAAATATGAAAAACTCTGAGTTCAAATACTTCTGATCCCAATGATTTGAGATAAGGGATATTCAAATTGTATATACATACAACAAAATATGAATATGAATACAGCCTTTAAAAAGAATGAAATTCTGATGTGTGCTACAACATGGATAAACAATTGTAAACATTATTCTAAATGAAATAATCCAGATGC